CGGCTACTTACACCTAGCGTCCACACAATAAGTAAGTTGAAGCAGTTACAGAACAACCATCACGGTCGAGTAAGAGCAGAGTCGTTTTGACATTTTGGAGCCCAAATTCTGAAATAGCATGCAAATCTTCATTTTCTGTCATGTTCAGCATTCGTGTGCATTTTTATTCGGAAAACCACAGTATCATAGGAAACTGAAACTCATGTCGAGGAGACAACAGTGATGACGACACCTACAACTATTTCAGAAGCAGAACATAAAGTAGAGAAGAGGGCCGCAAAAAGTGAGTATCTTGGCCTTTATCTTATCATTTTGCCAGTCCTGCAAGCAATTTAGCCGGTCATGGCCACAGACTCTCAGATAAACATCAAATACAAACAAGAGACAAACGGTCGGCTGACGAAGATTCTGAGGATGCGTACGAAGAGCTGAATAGGCGTCGGCGCTCAACAGAAAGTGATGAAGAGGAAGAAGATAAGTCTCTTCTTGAACATGGTGAATATCATGGTCATGCCGAGAGAAAACGTCGTGACACTAGCGGCAGCGAGGAAGGTAAAAAATTCTATAAAAAAATTTAATCCCTGTAATTCTAAGCCTGCCCCATTCAGAAGAAGGTCACAATCTACTCAAGAGACATATTGGCCACCACATCCTTGCACACGGTGTGTAAATGTTATGTTCCTCAAGAGATTTAGACCAAACATCGACTTCTTTTGAAAGGAATATTTTTGATATTTTTGCTCGTGGAATTTCTCACATATCCATAACGGCGTATTTTGCTTATGAGTTAAATAAAATTTTAAACTGGTGGTCGATTATTTTGTGAGAATCCTCTTTAGAGCACAACAAGATTGGAGACCTAGACGCTGTACATCATGTGCATCGAGGCGAAGACGCATCCGAATTACCACATTTTGCATCCGATGCTGTAGAGCATGTAGATTCAGTAGGTACAATATTGCTTCATATAGATTAGGCGCACTAGTGTTGTCTGAAAGCACAAATGCACGTAAATAATTTTTTATGTGAAATCAGATTTCTGCAATAGCTTTTACAGTCTATAAACCAATTCAAGATGAAGACATCATAGCATTGTAATGCCCTCTCCTAAATCTTACAAAATGGATTTCATCTCGGACTTACTACTGCTTCAAATAGCAGTCATTTTACACATTTTGCCCATGACCTGAAAAAGTTGTATAGGTCATTTATAAAATCGTGACGAAGGATTTGACTGCGGTCTTTGCGCCCGAAGAAGCATAAACCTCGTACAAAAAGGCATTACCTTCACGCTCCGCTCATCAGTGTCTAAATACTACCATACGTAAGCAATTAATTCAATTAGAGATAAAAATCAAGAAAATGAGGTGCCAGAAACGCGTGCGTGTCGCGCGCGGTCGCATCGTCACGATTTTCTGAATCTTATATATAAAGCTGAATGTCTGTTTGTCTGTCTGTATGTCTGTCTGTATGTACGTATGTTCCGAATAGAAAATTCCATTTCTGAACCGATCCGGACCAAACTTGGCACACATACACTACGGGCCCCGGCGGGTGTCATAGGCTACTTTTCGTCATCGATCGATATCGATTTTATCGATTTTTATCGATTTTTTTGCTGAGTTCACCTACGGGGCTGGGAGTTGGCATAGGGGGGTAATCGAGCATGGGGATTCCGAATACAATATTGGTTTTCAGGATTATCGATTACTTTTATCGATTTTATCGATTTTTTTGCAAAGTTTGAGCTACGGGGCTGGGAGTTCGCACAGGGGGGTAATCGAGCATGGGGATTCCGAATACAATATTGGTTTTCAGGATTATCGATTACTTTTATCGATTTTATCGATTTTTTTGCAAAGTTTGAGCTAGGGGGCTGGGAGTTGGCACAGGGGGGTAATCGAGCATGCTGATCACCCCCAAGGGGGGTGATCAGCATGCTCGATTACACCCCTTGCCAAATTCCAGCCCCCTAGCTCAAATTTTCAAAAAATCGATAAAATCGATAAAAGTAATGGACGATCCTGAAAACTAATATTGTGTTCGTAATCAGCATGCTCGATTACCCCCCTGTGCAAACTCCCAGCCCCGCAGGTCAAACTTCACAAAAAAAATCGATAAAATCGATAAAAGTAATGGACGATCCTGAAAACTAATATTGTATTCGAAATTCCCATGCTCACTTCCCCCCCTGTGCCAACTCCTAGCCCTGTAGGTGAACTCTGCAAAAAAATCGATAAAAATCGGTAAAATCGATATCGATCGATGACGAAAAGTAGCCTATGACACCCGCCGGGGCCCGAAGTGTATGTGTGCCAAGTTTGGTCTGGATACGGCGGAGCCGGGTAAGCCAGCTAGTGCCCTATAAATTCTTCCTCAAGTTCAGTCTTTGTTTTGCATATTTTTGAGGTGAACAGATTCTGGACTATTAATAGGATTGTATATCCGGTAAATATCGTATCAACTGAACATTTCGCTTTGCAAAACGGTCCTTTTATGATTTCGGTAGATGTGTACAGTAAAGGACCATTCGATCAAGTTCTACGTCTGTCTGCTTGTGACATACTGCAAATACTAGAAAAGGGTTCTTTTACATTATGCCGTTTTGAGATAGATTACGGTAGCGCAGTAAACAAAATAAATCCATCTTGACAGGATGATTATGAAATCCGGTCTGCAAAACTGGAATCGTCTACTTGCTAAAGCGTAAGATACATTAACCTCTGCGAGTTTCGAGTTCTTTACTATATAAAAATTTTCTTTCAAATTGTACTCAAATTTCGTGTATTTTTCTGCAGTTGAGATGAATTTAACGAAGTTAAACATGTAGTCTTTTAAGAAAGAAGAGCCCAACCCCCCCCCCTTCCGCACCCGAGATTGGGTCGCGAAATTTTCGGAAAGCTTACATGGGATACAAAAATGTGCAAATGACTTGTTTGTACTTGTAAATAGTTGAAATATTTTTTGGAAGTTTTAGCAATTTTATAAGCCTTATAAAGCGGTACAGCGGGACACACGCAGGCGGATGAGCTGATCGCTTACCCCTTATTCACCTCCACTACATCATGTAGTCTGCGCTCCTAGAAGCCAAGTTCTTTAGTACAGTGAATAAACCATGCAGGATTGCCGTTCTCGGCAATGTGATATAATTTGCGTTACAAATGAAAGAAAGTGTCCTAGAAATTCGCATATAATTTTTATCAGTCTTTCCACTGGCGATACCTTTGGTAATTGATGAATGCTCTTTGCTGTATAAATGCATCCAATAATCGTGCAAATGATAAAGTGATATATAGGTCTTTCGTATCTTACAACAATGCAGATGATGTGATTGTCAGAGAAATTCAAAACATTTGCGATGATACGACTCAAGGGTGGGTCGTACGTGTCCTGCCATTTCGGACAATTCGACCCACAGTTGCGTACGCTTTCTGCAGTTTTTAATTTTGCTAGTTTACGATGAAAACTTTTTGGGCAAATTGAGTGAACTTCTGCATACGTTTCTTGGACTTCCCAAAAATTCAACACTCCTCTAGACCAGAGGACCTATAAGGGACTAGAAACTGTTGCGCATGCTCAATATTGTGAAGTAGTATATTCTCTGGTCCGAAATAGCAGTTATCGAAGAAAAGGCCTTGTCTGTCATGAATGTGTTGAATGAAGTTCTATAGATTCGCATTTTGACGAATACTTCCAGGCTTTCTCTGAGATTTTTGCAGCAGAAAAAACACCAGAGTCACGTTTGAACTTGGCTTCATCTGTTTCGCATAAGCTACTATTGCCCCATGATAAATTTCCATCCACTGTCTCGCCATTCAGTAAGAGTTCCAACATCTCTATTGAAGTAAATATACAAGGTCCTAAAGTAAGAGAGACATTGAGACTATGGGTTTTAGTAGCTCCATTTGCACGAGCATGTCATTTTCCAGCTTTCAATTCTCATTGTAGACCTGCTCGTTACCTCTTTTGATCTTTCGTCCTCGGATTTACTTTACTCTTTTCTTAGTTGATTTCTGACGTCGTTTTTATGATAATATCTATCTACATGGGTAGTGCAAATCGACAGATACCTACTGAAAAGACGAAGAGATGTCTTCTTACTTTTCAAACTGTCCTTCCTCTCGCTCCACCCATCGTCAAAGTGTCCACTGGCAATTTCTGAGAAAATTATTATGCGCAGACGGAATGATCAAGCCATACAGCAGAAACTTTTCTTTTTTGTTTCATAATTCTGGGTAAAAAACGAATGTGGTATTTAATTGATTTTGCTTATACTAAAAAAGCCGTAGTAATGCGAAACCACAAATTAAAGACAATTTACCAAGCTTTGCCTGACTGGCTCCAATTGCAGAATACCCGTTCAAATCCAGCCACTAGAATTTCACCTATCACAAATTATCTAAAATTGCTTATATGCTCGTCATTTTTACATAGCACATACATATTGCATTGCACTTTCACCATCATAGCTAGCATCCGGCTTTGATACTTCCGACGATTATACCTATAATTTCAGCCGTTCGAGTAAAGCGAGTGTCCCGTGCTGGCAGTAGCCATAAACCGCGGGTGATGCATAAAAACAAGGGCAATAGTCGTGCTGGCCAAAACGAAACCGGAATCGAAGACGAACAAAATATAACTGGCATTTAGAATTGCACTTCACATTTTCATAATTTTCATTTTTTTCGTAGTATGTACAAGGAGATTTGTATTTATTTGTATCCCCTTATGTGGAAATTTTTTACCTCCATGTTGCACTCAAATTTTCTGACCTCTCTCCAAGCTTTCGAGAAACTCTACCCTATTTTTCATGCCTCAGTCAAACCGTACCGTACAAAATATCCTGTTCTTTCTCAATGAATAAATTACTTTGTTTCACTGTTTTCGCCTCAATCCTTGTTTTTTTCCAGCATAACAATTTATAAGAACAAATCTCAGATTGCACATATCAACAGACAAGTAAAACTGTATAAATAAATAAATAAATAAAATCTGAGCATTTATCCTTGTCTCTCAGCAAGACCTGTCTTGTAGAGCTTCTCGGGTTCGTTTAGGATCACTCGGTCGATGAACTCTTTTCCTTGGATGAAACAGTGATCCTGTAGAAATTATGATCAAATATAGAAAGATCTCCGAACAGATAGAACATTTTATGTACAATTTTTGAAAATGTACAATTTTTGAGGGAGTAAATTGGATAAGTTTCTAAAATTTGTTTATATTTGCCTTGTCGCAAATAATACAAAGTGCAGAAAAACTTACTTGATTTGAAACTTCATACTTCCATCCTCCAAAGCGACCTCTTGAGTAAATTGAGTGTTTTTCTAGCTCACGATGTGCTCGCGCCAACTCTGGATCTCGCTAAAATCAAAAATTTGCATTTCCGCACATCTACGCAAAAACTTCCAACAGCCTTATATAAAAAATTTTTCCAAGAACAGAGTTTCTAAATTCATTAGTCAAATCAGACAGACATTACTGTTGGGAGCATTTAAAATTAACAAATAACTTACAGCTGGAGTGGGGATGGGATACCCATATTCTAGGGTTGTGGAATATATCGAGACGATTGCCTCACGCTTGATCATGCTCTTGATCACAAGACCATCAATGGCTTGCTTTACGACTTCTTCTTCGGTAATCTGAGAAAAAGCTATATTTGCTTGACAGCATGATCGCACCGTAAATTTTATGATTGAAATTTCAAAGTTTTCCTCGCCTCTTGGTCACAATCACGATCATAATACACCATTGTTTGAAATTTGTTTCAAATATAAATCCCAAACTAACAGATATTTAGTTGAGCAAGCACCAGTGGTAGTGGTACACCGTTGCTCCCCCCCCCCCCCCTCCCCCAAGAATGGGAGCGAAATTTTTAAAGTTTATTATTTGAGTTATAAAAATGTGCAAGTAACCGTTTATACTTGCAATCGATCAAAATGATTTTTCAGACTTTCTAAAAATCCGATCCTTGGCCCCAGCCACGTCCCTTTTTGGAATTTCGGGATTATGGGGCCGCGAAAATTTTGGGAAGCATACCAAAAAAATTTTTCGGAGTGCGTTTTCTCGCCCCCATCCGGAACGAAAATTCTGGGTACGCCACTGGCAAACACCTATTTGGGAGACAAGAACTTTTCAAAAAGCTATTTTGATCTATGGGAGTAATATGCACTCCTGAAGGGCTGAGGTAGGGCAGCACAAAAGGAGGGAAGGGGGTGGGGGGAGGAACGGTAAAGAGTGTAGACCATTTTGGCATCTACTGCGAATTCATTTCTATATCAACCTTATCAGCTGCTGACTATGAAATGGTTGCTTTTTAGCTTGGGAATAGCTTTAAATGGCTTTCCAAACGTCAATCATCCAAATAAATCGCTGGTAATTGTATGTGTACAATACTCATGCTCTCTTGGCTTTTTCAATAGTAACGATACTTTTTTGTTCGTGATTCATATGTAATATTCTGCAATAAACTCACTGGATCATCAATCGGTCGTGCGCATTCGCACATGACCGACCAGTATTTGTTACTGTCCGGCGTCACCTGTAATTATCCACTGTCAAATGACAAATAGCCGAATAAATAACAAATATCAGACATGAATATGTCAGATTATGGTATGGAATACGGACAAAAGGTTCACCCACCTCTCCGTATCGACTAAGAATTGTCACGCGGAAGAATGGTACGTTAGGATCGGGAAAATAGAGCCATGTGAATTTCTCGACAAATTCTGTCATCGGCTTTTCGAGACCAACACCGACGATGAAAACCTTGACATGGGAGCATTCTGATGGTCCAGTTTATAGGATCCATAAGGTTAAAGGAAAGTGAACCAACCTTGTTGTGGTCCACATTAATTTCAGGACAGATTTTGGTCTCCTTGACAAGCAAATCAATTGGCGCAGCATTTAGCAGAATATCATAGTTCAGTTCTTTCACTTCATTGGAAGTTTTGTTCACATATCGTACACGTTTTGCTTCAGCATCAATTCCAACTACCTACAATATCATTTATACAGGAACTCGATCCGATTTTGGAAGAACAGCATTTTTTGAGAATTATATAGCTGATTTGACCTCCAAGAAATTTTGCTATCTAACATCTAATGATCCATTCCACCTACAAGAGTGATTTCCGTTATTTAAAGTAGAAGACTAAGTAAGTTCAAATACTGTTTTCTATCCTAACGTTGTTTCCGTTGCAAGATCTTACTGCTTTTTATTCACGCTGCCATAAAAAACAATACATGAGACATCAGATGGTTTTTACCTTCTTTCTATTGCGCCTATTTTTCTCGACATGGTGACTAGCGTTTACTATAATTGATTGTGTTTATAAATTGTAGGTATGGGGCTTTTTAAGCGTACAAATAGTTGGATAATATGATAAAGGGGTCGATCGCTGTTTGATCTTGTTAAGAGATTTTTTCCTATGTAAAACCTGCCGATTTTTTGAGTCAGTTAGTGTTTGCTCCCTATTGTCAGACAAATAAAAACTGATGCGCGGAATGGTTCGATAATAGTGTCCATAAAAAGGTAATTATCTTGAAAAATGCCTGCATTTACAACTTGTCTGTTGGTGAATCATGTACATAGATCCAATTTGCGCTTACAGTTCGCACCAGATGAAGTTTGGATTCTGATTTCCTATGGTTCCGGGATCATGCCAATAGATTAGTGTGGATAATCTGCTTTGGGGGCAGAAGACGACAGAAGGACATGAACAAAAAGAACAGAGCAACATGAATATGTGAACGAAAACCTTCAAACGGAAGAACATAGCGTAACCGTTTCGTTCTTTAAATTGAACAGAAGAAAGTAGAAAAATTACGACGTGTAGATTTTGGGGTACAAAGCAAGTATTTCGAAACCAACTTATCACACGAATTTTATGAATTACAAGAAGACCTAAGTGAGCACTCGTGAAGGATTTTATTCGCAGAGCATGTTACAACTTGCTAATAGAATTAAAAAGCCTCCTCTTTCTCCAAAAGCGTGTCCGACGCACCCCTTGCATACTCTAGAAAATTTTGAAATCTACTACTCAGTTGCAGCATAGGCGATAAGATCACTCTTTGAATTTATATCCCTATGCTCTGTTTAAAGATACATGCAGAATATTGTGAATTTTAGTTAATTTATGCACTTTTTTTCTCAATCAAATGGACGCGAAAGACAGTAAGTCTTACATAAAGACTGTCTAGATCGCTGTAACATAAAAGCCGGAAATGCGACGTAAATTTGGATTGAAGAAGGATTTCAATGAACACAAATGCTGACCCACTTCCAATCCTGCAAATAATTTCCGATGATGTCAATTATATATAATAAACTTTCCGATTTGTTTGTCGAATCTAATTATAACAAAACAACCGAAAGCGTTACCTCCGTGTTGAATCTGAACCAGTCCTTTGGCAACTTCTTAGCCATTGAGTTCCAAACATTTCCAGTTCCTCCATACTTGGGGAAAGTGAAACAGGAGTTTGGTCCCCAACCGAAGTCTGCTGTCTAAATACACAATAACTTTGTCATTTACATTAAAAAAAACTCGAACGCACGGCTAGTTCTTCCTGATTCATGGCACAAAGCTCTTCTAATTTCTCCTGAGGTAGCTTAGCAACTCTTGTTCCTACCCAGTTCGGAGACATTTTTGTTGGCTCAACGGTCCAAACCTAGAAACAAGGCTACACTCCCACATCCTTTTTGATCTTGGAGGTATTCCTCTTGATATCAATAAAGTTTACCTTCTTTGTATAAGGCTTGAAGAAGACTTCCAAAATTGTGGGTCCAAAGTGTTTCAACACCCAATCGTCGAAGTTCTCTGGAGTCCCTTCAGGTTCCTTAAGATTCAATTTTGGAAATTTGAGTTTTCTTAAGATAGCAAAACCTTAGACAAATTGATTACCTTCTCATAACGTTCCTTGAGGTCTTTGAGACATTTTTGCTTAACATCTTCTGGGAACAGAGGCACAGCGAATTGTGCTGGGTAAGGAACAAGATGAATGCCTGGTGTGTCGTATAGATAATTCATGTCAACCTAAACATCTTTTAATGACGATTTATGGTTTCAAAATAGATAATTTCGGGAACAGAATTATCTCATCCAAATCTCTAAGCAAATTCATTTTACTCAATTTTTTAGCATTTGGTGTATCCCTTTTTTGATTTTCTGTTTCCAAAAATATTGACAGTGGCATTGCAGGAAAGTAAACTAAAAATGACATCCCAAGAAAGTATGCTTTCAAATGAACAAAACCAAATTGGAAAAGGTAAAACTCACCATGCAGTTTCTTTGAAGGCTGTTCCACTCATCTACAGCCCACTTTACAGCTTTCTCATAATACGGAAAATTGTGATTGAATGTGATATGACCTCCCATGTCCCAGAGAAAACCCTTGTCATCCTTTACCGTGCATGAAAGTCCACCAGCATAGGCTTCCTGTGAGAATAAGCAGGATAAAGTTTTCATATTTACTCTTAGACCATGGACTTTGATAAAATGGGAAACCTTACCTTTTCAAGAATCACCATCTCAACATCCTCGGCATTTTCTTGCTTTTCCTGAATCAGTTCATTGAGACGAAATGCTGCTCCCAAGCCTGTCGGTGCCGCTCCGATGCAAACGATGCGCATACTAAAATAAGTAAACAATCTGAAAGCGATTCAAAAGAGATATAGGGTCAGGCTAGGGCTGGTAAAAAATATGTCAAAGGGAGAGAAAGCATTATTTGTCTCTGAGTCAAATACAGCATCTGCAAACAAAATCCTAAACTTTAGTTTTCGAAGCAGCTTCGAAATATTTTCTCTGTTAATCTTTACAGCAAAGAAAATGAAATTTTAAATTTGGACAGAATGATCTCTAGCGTAAAAGTGGACGGTGAACTAAGGACAAATTTCACTAGATAATAGCGACCGATGAGAAAGTGAATGTTGCAATGGCGGAGCGATATGATCTGACCCACAAACCTAGAAATCGCTTCGAAGAAAGTGAAACTTCATGAGGGCTGATCACAATGAACCTTGTCGTCTAGAGCAAATGCCATCTCAAATTGATTATTATTTGCTAAAATCTAATACCGCGGCTATGTCTATTCTGAAATAAAATTCAAAATCTTCTTGGTAATGAAGCCAAGCAGAAGATGAGATTAGTCACAAAAACAACCGTTTCGTTAACTCATGGACTTTACCATTGAATTTTCTTGTATAAGCGGCCGCTCAGGGGTTTCAACATCCAACCATCTCCTTATCGTTAAACTTACTAGTTTGCAGGCTGACCTGATTCTGCAGTCGTGCAGTCTAAGCCAATACGTCGAAGTTTATAAATCAACCAGAGTAAAGCAATGAAGGAGTTAAACCCAATTTCTGTTTCTTTCCTGCATCGCATACGGCACTGCGTTTTTGCAATAGAATGAACTTGCTTCCGACCAGCAGATTGAGCTTTGCCACCCCTGAATTCATGACTACGGGAAAATGATTATAAGGACATTCTAAGCTTCCATTTTCTCAGATATAGGGGACCAATGTATATAGAAGGTCAAGGTGAATCGGCGCTAAAAAGCCTAGATAAATGCGCCGGCTTACTACATCAACCATTTTTTGCTTGTCATGACTACCCTATTATGGGAACCAGGGCTCGGCACGAGGTGGCTAGATGAAAATGGAAAAAACGAAGTCCCCCTTGACTTTTGGGAATTTTTACGAAGTCCCCTTTGACCCTCAACCAAATTTCCTCTAAAAACCTGAAAAATTCCCCAAAATTCCCCAAAAAACGAAACGTCGACTAAAAAAAAAAGGTCGCCGTCGCCAATTTTCTGTGTCACTTCGGTCACAAAAACGAAACGCTTTTTGCTTTTCGTCCCAAAAACGATATCCAGCTTGCTTGTAAGCCACCTCGTGCCGAGCCCTGATGGGAACTTGTTCGAATGCTAGTTGTGCACAACAAAATGATATTGAAAAAGGACCCGAATAGTTTAGGAATAGTTATAACTAGGTTTAAGCCCGAAATACATCTGCTTTGACTGGCACATCGAAGTTAATGATTCCCGAACCATTCGTCAGTCAAAAAACTGTTCGGGAATGTAGCAAGCTGAGTTGGCGATACCTGATAACAAAGGTTACTTCCGTTGTATTTACACTTGGATCGAATCATCGATACTCATTATTGTAGGATTAGGGTACGTGTTTTCAAATATTTCTAAAAATTTTGAAAATTATGTGACAGATTTTCTTCGCATTCTGATTCTACATCTTAATTTACACGTTTTCAAACGACTCAAATCCAAGTTTCTGGATTCTTTGGAAATGCGGAATATTTGGAAATAAATAGATTTCCTTCTTCGAGGAGAAACCTTTTCACTCTGGCATAGTGCAATTGTTGAACCAATATTTAAAGGCAGCGTCCAGGCAGATCTGGACCTATGGGGCTTTTAAGTGGAAAGTATTTTTGGGGCCCTAACTAAGGCACTGCCCAAGCGGCAGCTTAGGTAGTGCTCTAATGGCTGAGATATTCCCCTCGAAACTGGCCCCCGCGAACGTATTCGCATGGATTCATGGCCGTTTTGCGCCAGGATCCAAGCTTTGCGAAATGAATCCATGCGAAACACGGTCGCGGGGTCCAGTTTCGAGGGGACTATCTCAGGCGTTAGGGCACTACCTGAGCTGCCGGTCGGGCAGTGGCTCAGTTAGGATCCCAAAAGTACTTTCTACGTAAAAGCCCCATAGGTCCAGACTTGCCTGGACGCTGCCTTTAAGAAAGGCTGCAAAGCCGACGGAAATTAGAGACCGATTTGTTTGACCTTCTGTTAGCAAAGTCTTGGAAAGAATACTCAACAAACAAATTTGCTCATGCCTTGAAAGAAACCAGCTGATTCATAATGCGCAGCATGGCTTTCTTCTCAAAAGATGTCTAAGCCGTCGGCTCTTATGTCTACAGTGCCTGTGTGGCAAAAATCGATTGATGACGGAGGTTCCGTTACGATTTGCAACCTAGATTATAAAAAAAGCCTTTGACTCTGTGCCTTTGGCCTTACTCTTTACAAAACTGAGAGCGTAGGGCATTCAGAGCTGCGTGCTAAGGTTTTTGCAATCTTTTCTACGCAACCGTTCGCAAAAGATGCAAGTCAATGAATCCTTCTTTTCTACGTACCAAACAACGAGCGGTGTGCCGCAGCGAACTTGCCTAGGGCCTTTGATGTTTCTGCTATATATCAATGATCTACCGACATACCTTCCTCAGAATATACTCTGCTCAATTTATGCTGACGATACCAAGCTTTTTTGCTATAATTCCCTTAGTCTGATGCAGAGCGCCTTAGAGGCAGTGTCTCATCAAATTGAGGTCGCGCGGATTTTCACATATTCTATTATAGGGACCTCTAAATAGGCCATTGCAACAAGTCCCACTCAATTTGACTCCCTCCACGCTGAGAAAAATTCGCTCAAACTGGTACGCGGAGAGCGACTTGGTACGCGCGGACGACTCCTTCGGTCTCCCCTCTTACGCGTTTGAACATGTCCCTCCACTTGGCATCCACCTCCCCTGTGTAGCTGCCACTGTGGCTGAGGCTGAAGTTGGAAGGTACAACTCGTCCACGTTGCTTCCGCGGGGCCTCCAGAAAACGGGGTTTTTGGGAACTTCGTGCGATTTTAGGCTCATACAGTGCTAGACAGGGTCCAACAGGCTTGCATAATGCAAAAAACTCGGCAACTAAATTTTGGTGAGACACTGCCTTTAAATGCTGTAGAGGGGTGGTCCAAAAGGTGGGAGCTCGACATTTCCATTGAAAAAACCTTCATTGTGCCAATCGGGGCTATGCACTCCCAATGGCAATTCAGTAATGGAGAACAACAACTTCGAGTATTGAATGATGCTAAAGACCTTGGTGTGAGTTACTCTTGCCAGTTGGAATTCGAGAAGTACATAAGAGGTATAATTGATGCTGCTCACACCACATGCAATTACATACTACGCGCATAAAACCACGAATGTCAAAACGCTCTTCCGCCTCTTCGTCACCTATGTGCGGCCTCTGTTAGAATATTGTACTCCTCTATGGTCCCCTTACAAGAAAGCCCAAATTGATGCCTTGGAAAGAGTTCAACGATTTTTCACATCTAGAATCTTTGCCCGGGCTGGAATGCGACTGTCATACATAACTAGGCTCTCTATACTCACCGCGACCTCCCTTCGGTTTAGAAGAGTGATGTACGACCAAGATCTGCTCTTCAAAATTATGACTAGAAGAGTTGAGCTGAGAATACAAGATTTTTTCAACTGTCAACTTTTAACAATCTCACTAGAGGACACAACTTCAGGGTTGTAGTAGGAAAAGTTAGAACTAAGCAGTTCTTCAACTTCTTCTTAGTACGCGTAGTCAAAACTTGGATTGATCTCCCTGTGGAAGCTGTTACTGCGAGAAACACCTTCATTTTTAACAGAGAAGTTCAAAAATATTTGAAATCGCAAGGGTCGTTCAAATTTTTTATTGCAGAAGTGGAAGAAGTCGGTGTCCCTTTGTCCTCTCAACAGCAGTACTCTAACCGGTTTTGGTTCCTCTATCCAGAAGAGGAAATCGCACTATATGCTATCCCTTCTACTCTATTACTTAGGAAAAACATTGAAAAAAAACAAAAAAAACTATTGCAATAAGCCATATACTGTTTCTTTTCTACCTCACTTCCCTTTCTCGGATAAACTAACCACATCCTGAAAGTTTCGTTGATTCTCTGTTCGTTTTTCTTGTTCTGTTTTTGCATGTCTTGTTGTCCTTTTGGAAATACTTTTTGATGGGGCTATAGCCAGCTAGCCTCCACCCATAGGCTCGCTGGCCTTCAAAAAATGGGAACATACTTTCTGAGAGGCAGCAAGATTTCTCAGTCGACCGTGGATGTACTCTTTCCCTCAAAAGATATGATTTGTTGCCGACTTTATCAAATAAATATCAAATATCAAATTATCACTCATGAAGTGTAAAAACATTTCGCATATTGTCCCTCACAGGTTTCATAAGCATGTATCTGATAACTATACGACATACAGATTTACGCTATAAGCTATTATTTACTCAAACACCATATTTGTGAGAGCTGACACAGATCGTACTTCAGAATATGCTCCATAAAGGTCATGCAGCGGATGACTTTGTGATAAGTAACCTTGAGTAGTTGGTTCGTCAGCTGGTGCGTGAGCTGAAGCTCTTAACTTCAAATGTTACAACCCAACGTTTCTTTACCACACGGCTTTATTGCTCATCTCTTACTTCATCGCACACTTGTTTCCAAATTATAGATGAACGGATCTGGTTCTAGTTGTCAAAATATGGATCTGTTAATAGACAATGGTTCGCGTCCGTCAGTACCATGAGAAAGCCTCGTGGACCTCTGATGACAGGAGCGGTGGGCTCTACTCCAATCCGGATCCCGTCGTAGGATGTTCTAAAAATAAGGCATTTAGCAGACAATATAGTATTGATAGCATTGAAACAAGTTCATGTTCAGTTCAAGTACAGTTCAAACAAGCAACTCAAGACAAATAACAACGTGAAAAATGGAGCAATGTTTGTAAGCATTCCTGCCGTTGTGATGTTAGGTATATGTAGGCTGTTTCCGCATTGTGGGTACTTTTAGATGAGGCT